AAGAATGCCCTTACGAGTGTAACTAATTAAACCGCATAATTAAGAAAACTTTTTTTCGGCATGACATTTAATAAAGGGTCAAAAAAATTTTCTGGTCGAACAGGAGTTAAACTAAGGTTCAAAAAACTTTTTCCGCACAAATTCCTATTACAACATAGGTCAGACCCTTTTTTTGCCATCAATAAATGTAAAATTTTGGTTTAGAAAATTTTTTCTCATACCATTATTTATAGCAAAAAACGTTCGAAATTTTTTTTTTAATTTTTAAAATTTGGGGGTCCCCCTTGAACTGGGGGGCGGCGCAAATTGCCCCCAGTGCCACCCCCCCACCCCCCCCGCCTCTGAAAGGCCCTGACCTTTTGGAGAGTGGAAACACTGGTAATGGTCTCTGAGAATCTCTGTGATATTATATTTATAGCTACTTCTTCGGTATTTCGTTTACAGCCGTACGTAGTGTGGTTGATTGTGTTTATTTAGACTAACTGTGCGTATATATATATTTAGACTAAATGTGCGTATATATAATTTTGTTATGAGTTATATATTCAGAAAAGATGCGGCGTGTTATGTTGTTTTTATATGCACAAACTGTTTCAAATTTGGACAATGTTATAAGGCTGCTGATCGGCAATCGGCTTCCTGTGATTGTTATAGCGGTACCATAGTAGTGAGTTACGTGTTGAATGACAACCGGCTAACAAAGTTAATCCTTACACCTGTATTCTAAAAGTTCATTAACATTAATTGAGTGAAGATTCAATCTGAGCCATCGACGAATTTTCATATTTTTGACGGGGGTGGTGCCAGAAATTTTAGGGGGGTGAGCCGCGAGCAGGTGACCGAAGCAACACAAAGTGTCACCAAACCCCAGTAAGGGTTATATTCTAGAGGTGGAGCACTAGAGCCGCGAGTGGGAGTCTAGAGAGCAGAAAACAAAGTATCCCTGGAAAAATTTGAAAAAATCATGATTTCTAGCTTCGAAAAAACGTTTTTTGAAGTTGTCATATCAATGGATTTGGTCGGTCCGATTGTCTGTTGAGACTTGACAGAGTTAAAGTTAAATAAACCTGTAAAAGTGTAAACCCAATTGGCCAATACACAATATGCTTTTACTTTTATAAAATCATTGACATTTTGTCATTTGAATCCGAGTACAATTTATGATGCAACTCCAATGTAAATAATATTTGGGACGTAAAGATTAGATCTAGGCAAGACTATTTCCTAAAAGAATTAAAAACTAAAAAAAATGTTCGTAAAATTTCCAAACGTTTCTTACTCTATTCAGGAGGAGATAATAGAGTTTCAAAACTTTACAATTGGTCCAATAAACCAGTGAATGCAAGCGAGGAGCAATTAGTTCCAGAGTATTGCACTGTCTTTTTCTATTTGAGTGTACTCCTACGTTTATTTTGTATCATCAACACTCTGCACGTTGGAGTGGACTATTTAATTATTTTTTATTATGCCGAATATTGGGGGGGGTTTGAAATTTTTTTTGGAGGGGTGGACATTTTGTTTGGGGGGAGGGGGTTATAGCTAATATTGTTATAGCTAATATTGGTAGCATTCTCTGCACACACCCCCCCCCCCCCGACACACAAAATTCGTCTATGATCTGAGCATCTCTTGAGTGTCAATGCTGTTTTTGAATAGCTGGAGGGTGAGTTGTCACATAGTAATGTACGACACCAATCCTCTATAGCTATTAAAAAACAGCATTGACACTCAAGAGAAGCTCAGATTGAACCTCCACTCATTGAGTGTGACTGAGCTTTAAGAATACGTGCGGACCTTTATTTTTCTCTCATGTGCTTATATATATATTTTCTGATGAGATAAAATGTATGTGAGTACTACCGAAGATCGTGAACATAGTTCAAACGTGTTGTTACCGTGATGCTTAAAGTGTGTGCCTATATAGTAAAGCCGAGTTTCCACTTACAGTGTTAACGTTTTCGCCGAACGATTTTCTCTTCGTGAGTGCGTTTGATTCTTGTTTACTTACGTCCATGAAATTTCTAGCATAAGTTAATGATTTCAGTGACTGTTGGGGCACGTTAACTCCTCGAATATGAATAGGAAAAAAATTATGTAAAGAACATTTTTACGCCGAAAACGCGAAGTGGAAAATCGACTTTATGCAGGGTCAAGGGAGAGAGGGCGTAGAAACGGCCATACATCGAGCGGACCCATCCGTGATGCGGGCTTCGCGGGGGGTAAGACGTTCTAATTGTAAACAAATATGGCTACGCGTATATGACCCATCAGAAGGTATGCTGAAACTATTGCTTTATAAAATATTACTTGTGTAAAATTTATATGTTTTTGTTACTTTCAGCTATTATAAGAAACTTAAAGATAAGATTTAAGTAACAAAAAACTTTATTTCGGGTGTTATTTTATTTATATACTCTGTTTAATTTGGTGATTAAAAATGGCCGTCGAGATGTTGTCCGAGAGTGTTAGCGCGCACTGCTTCCTGATAAAAACCCAATGATTTCCAAAACCTAAATTATAATTTGTTATTAAGTTATGATGAAAACCTTTGCGCATACAAAATTATAGAGTGAGCAAACATTAGACAGATAGGTTTTGAACCTTTCAAAGTTCGAGGTCGAATTGACAGTTGAAATAGTACCAAACTCCAAGCTGAAATGTGCAACTAAATCGTGTATATTTTTGTCAATTTTGTTCGCTGGCTTTGTTAAATTCACTTGCAATGGCTCGACATAAGTTACAACATACAAAGTGAACAGAGCCCATGAAAGAGCTATCCATAGTCCATACCCATACAGTCATTCAGCTTCCTTGCTATTTAGAAATTGTTGCCCATTAGTTGAAGAAGAATTGCTATTGTATGCGCTTGTTTGCACTTCCTTTTCTGAAAAAAGTCTACAATATTAAGGCTAAATAGCAGAAAAATATGACCCAATAATCCATGCAATTAAAAATATCTATCAAATTAACTTCAAAAATCATGATTTGGGAATTATATCTATTCAGGCAATCAACCCATAATTTAGTGACAGATCTTGGGATTGGTGTACTACAAAACTATATTGACTGAAGTTTTGGAAAAATTTTGCCAACTTTTGAAGGATTTATTAGGTCCAGTTCACATGAGACTGGAACGAAGTCAATTAACCGGGACCATTTCGTTTTGGTCATTAGATTATATATAATGACATGAGGTCTCAAGTCATTCCACCTGCTGGACCAAGCCGACTGAGTTAGACCAGTATGAATTCAGACTGGAATGAATGTTGACATTGGAACAAGTGAACAACACATGCTAACAAAAGTCATCTAAAAAAGAAAATTGCCTGGCAAGGGGAATAAATTGAAAATTTTGTGATTTTCATACTGGTCTCATGTAAACATGTTGACATGCAATTTCAATTTTCCAGGTTGGTTTCATCCTGGTCTCATGTAAAAGGGACCTTACAAACTGTGATTCAGCATCATGGGATGAGATTAGGGGCCTGTTTATATGATCCCGGCCAGGCGGGACGGGATGCTTACCGAGATCCCGCTCGTAATACAAATGCTAAAGAGTGTTTATATGATCCCGCCACTTATCCTGCCTAGACTGGATTTCGGCAACAGATGCCGGGATCCTGCCTAAGCGAGATGAAAAATTCCCATATAAAAACACTTTATCCCGCCTAGCCGGGATGAAAAATTCCCATATAAACACTTCATCCCGGTTAGGCGGAATGAATTTTTCCCTTTTGGGCATGCGTAAATGCCTTTATTGCAACAAAAATATGACGTCAAGCACCGAATGGTTTCATCCCGGCAATGTATTTTATCCATATAAACACTAGGCGAGTATCCTGTCTTGGCGGGATGAAAACGTCCCGTCCCATCTAGGCGGGATCATATAAACAGGCCCTAAGGAATTGAAAGATTTTATAAGCGAGCAATGCTTAAAAGCAAGATATATAAACAATGAAAGAAATGGCACTAACCGAGCCACAACTTCTCCAGAAGTGTAAAATTCCATGATACTGAATCACAGTTTGCAAGTCAATCCTTCAAAATTTAGTTAAATGTTTCCAAAACTTCAGTCAATATAGTTTTGTAGTACACCCATCTTAAGGGTTCCTTTCAGCTTTCACCTTGCCAAGACCTGTCACTAAATTATGGGTTGCCTGAATAGATATAATTCCTCAAATCATGATTGGTCATGATTTTTGAAGTTAATTTGACAGATATTTTTAATTGCATGGATTATTGGGTCATATTTTTCTGCTATTTAGCCTTAATATTGTAGACTTTTTTTAGGAAAAGAAGTGCAAACAAGCGCATACAATAGCAATTCGTCTTCGACTAATGGGCAACCATGCACTTGTATAAAATAGCAAGGAAGCTGAATGACTGTAGGGGTATGGATAGCTTTTTCATGGGCTCTGCTCAGTTTGTATGTTATAACTTATGTCGAGCCATTGCAAGTGAATTTAACAAGGGCCAGTAAACAAAATTGACAAAAATATACACGATAAAGTTGCACATTTCAGCTTGGAGTTTGGTACTATTTCAACTGTCAATTCGACATCGAATTTTGAAAGGTTCAAAACCTATCTGTCTCATGTTTGATCGCTCTATAATTTTTTCTACGCACAGGTTTTCATCATAACTTAATAACAAATTATAACTTAGGTTTTGGAAATCATTGGGTTTTTATCAGGAAGCAGTGCGCGCTAACACTCTCTTACAACATCTCGACGGCCATTTTTAAACACCAAATTAAACAGAGTATAGAAATAAAATAACACTCGAAATAAAGTTTTTGGTAACTTAAAGGAGCTATGTCACCATCTGCGCATCTTTTCTGCGCATACCTAATATATTCGGAAATTATTCGGAAAACGTCGGAAAGTTGTCAAGGAGCGATGCATGATGTCTTCCTGTAATATGAATACGGTAAGAAAACATGAATAAATTTACATATATTTTTGTGGGAAATTGATCGATCTTTCATGAACACGACATAGGTTGAGTATTGTGAATGCAAGAGCTCTTGTAGTACTAAAAGGAAGGAGAATAGTAGCCGAGGATGCCCTTGCAAGGGTCGAAATGTCGTGTGCTCATCAAGTTGTCGATGTGGCACTCGAAATAAACCTTGTACGAATAAGGTTAGTCTGTCGATTATATGTTTTCAATACATTCATTTGGCTTACAGTTTGATTCGTTAAAAAATCAAATCGTTTTGTAGTCATTTTATGTATACAAATCATGATTTAGGAACGAGGAGAGAACTCACAGCCCACTGCTCGCACTACGTCGCAAAGAAAGTCGGTAGCTGGATTTCGCCTTTCTCATCCATCGGCTGATTCCGAAGAAACGCAAAGAGAAAAGGAACACGAAGATGTAAAAGTATGTAGAGCACCAGAGATCTGTTTGTTTAGTTTCCTAGCTAAACTTCCATGTAGAAGACATAATTTGCTAAGTCATTTATATTTTGATATCATAAACGTATACAAATACAGTATGTTTACTATATTGAGTATTGATTATTTGATTGAGATTTGGTGATATTGTTTGCAGTGAAAATCTCTTTAAAATTAAATGATATACATGCAGTAGCTGTCAAATAACCTTGTAAAAGGCCATGTAAAGTCCGTATTGTAAACAAACGCTTTGTTTACATTTTGAACTCAGTGCTGTAGTTGTAAAATTTGATTAGATATACTGTACGTGTAATATATTATACTGAATTTTCTAACCATGTCTTTTGGACACATGGTGAGAGACCAAAAATGTACTGCAAACAGTATTCAAATAGTTCTAAGCTGAGAAGCCATATATGTTTATCCTTAGGTTTAATCAATCTAATTTGATAGGTACTGTATTCATGTATTTTAGGACTTTATTGCCACTTTGGATGAAGCGATGGTGAGGAAGGTAGCTGTTCGGGGCCTCAGGAGGGGTATTGGAAGTATGGATTATATCCATACCCTCCTAATAATGGAGGATGACCTTGATCAGACAGAACATGATGAGGATATGGGTGCATTTGAGGAAGATTCAGGAGAGCTGCGTAACGATAAAGATCAACCCCATAGCTCAGCAGGCCCACCTGAACCACACAACCACTTGCCTACATCAGCACCAGACTGGTGTGTATGTGGATATTGTAGACCCATGACACAGGAGATAGAAAATAAATGCTGCAGACAAAAGAATTGTATTACACTAACCTCAAGGTTTGCTAAAATATGCTTAGACCCAGATGTTTTGGAGTTATGTATTCGAAACACTGGGGACATTCACAACGATCAGGAGGATAATAGTACCCGAGCATTTAGAAAAGCTGGATACAGACAGTTTGTATTAGCACGTCATGGCCACCTCGGAAAGGGAAATAGAAGGGTTTGCCCATCTTGTGTTGTGTTAAAAATACGGGGACGATATCCATCTGTCACAGGAGTCTATATGGGCTTTAGGGAGCACTGAATCTATTGAGATTGAAGTCAGGGACTTATTTATTTATGGCTATTGGTTGACAAATTGGGGTATAAGGAAAACTGAAATTGTATTTTGTTAATTTAGTGTACTGTATACTGTACTGTATATATATTTATTATATATATATATATATATATATATATATATATCCCATTGAGTTGCATTGCACCCTGATGCACCCTACTTTAGTATTTTACTCTGTCTAACGCCAGACAATTTTACTCGTCAAGGGGATAGCGCTGCCGCTTAATGGGTTAACTGGCCTATCTGCCCATGTGTCTAGTTAACCCATTGAGTTGCATTGCACCCTGATGCACCCTACTTTAGTATTTTACTCTGTCTAACGCCAGACGATTTTACTCGTTAAGGGGAGAGCGCTGGCGCTTAATGGGATATATATATATATATATCTTCATGTGATAAGAATAATTGATATTTTCGCTATTTACATTCCTCTGTTGCTATTCCCATACGCCGGACTAGTTGATTGCCTCTACCCTTTGATCTGTCCAGCATGGGTGACCCTGCCAGGAGCTTATGCTCCAGCCGGCATAGCTCTAGGGGTCATGGAGGCAAACAACTCAACAACTCATGAACTCAAGCCCCCAACCATGGGCTTGGTGGTCTCCAGGGATTGTTCCAGTTACTATTTTTTGAATCGGCTTCTTCGCTCCGCAATTTCTTTCGTAGATGGTGGTGGAACATGGGCAATTGTCATGGAAATAAGACCAGGATCACTTGTGTTTAGGGCAACTTTCTGTGTGACATTCCCTGATAAGTCATCAGCTCTGCTCCTGAGAACTCTAGATGTCATCATTGCGATGTATTCATAACCCTTGGCAACTTTGATTTTTTTTATGTCCCACTGCCTGGTCCTAGGATTATACTTTCGGGTGACCATGCATTCGCCAGACTGTAATTTTGCTTGTGGAAGGTTGAGATGAAAATTCCAATCAATGGCTGCCAGCTGACGTCGAGCTTTATAAACTCTATAACTGAAAGGAACATTACGTCTTGGTACAGGTTAAATGACTTTTAGATTCACATATTACATAATTTGGCACAATGCTTTCATATAAATTTCTGGCTAAAAAAGCATAATAGTACCTAAATGGTGTTCGTTTAGGGGTGTAAACCAAGCCAAGATTGTTTGCACATTCAATGCCACCAGTGTGTCTATAAAAGTTTAAAAAATATACATAATTGGCAGTAAAGCTAATTTCACTTGTAAATACCTGCTTTCTTACCGGAAACGGGTATAGTACTTGAAACTGCCAAGTAATTCGGGGTTTAGGATGACTTTTTGTAATTCTACAAAATCCTTATCCCGACGATCGAACCATGGCAGATTCTCATCATGTTCACCTTCATCATGTTCACATTCACCACCTATCCATTCATGCTCATTGCAGATGTGATGGAGTAAACCAATCCACATATCCTATAAAGAATTACAGTAAAAAAATTTCAAGCTTGACAATCTGACATGTTGGTAGAAAAACAACATAGAAGTATGACTATTGATGATTAAAAATAAACATACCTTCATAATCTTTAATGCTTTTTATCAGAGGTTGTCTCGTCTTTTCTGCATGCGCTGGAACAATGCCAAAAGTGGGTAATAATATGAGCTGACCAGTCCTTAACCTTTTTCATTGCCTTTGGTTTTCCAAGCTGAAATATTTTTAAAAAATGCCAAAACAATGTTATGTTAGGGCAGGGGCGTAGGAAGCAGCGGGGAGGGCACGCCCCCCAATATTTTATAAGGGGGGGGGGGATAGCTTTTGCCCCCCCCCCAAAAAAAAAAAAAATTGGATTTAAATACTGCAAAATTCTCGAAACTGGAAGTACTTTAAACCGTATATATCATATTAATAATGTATCCGCAATTGTTGATTGTTATGCGATACACCCAAAAGCATTCACTATAGTCCAAAAATGCTATGCATATTGCAGTATATTTTTCCAATCATTTACTGTAAGCCAACCATTGTAATGTTAGCATAAACTTAGGTCAACACTCTGTCAAACAGGCAAATCACAGTTCATGTAACAATATACAAACCTTCGTCAGACACTTTTTAATGCTTTTTGCTTTGTGCCAAACATCCGAACTGTGTACAATATTGTCATATCGTGTTTCTGAAATGGAAAATATAATAAATTAACATATTTTTAGTCATAAGCGTACGGTCAACAAAATCTTTACGGGGTGGGGGCGCCGCTTTTGCACAATGTCTAGTGACCTCCAACAACACAACCCCACTGCCAAATTGTTTTGCCCGGCGGTGAACTAAAAATTGCCCGACTTGGCAATATTTGGTAAATTTAAGGGGGGATTGCAGTTGCAATTCAATATTAATTAAAATCTAAAATAGTGCCTGCCAAAATACAAAAGTGATTATTGTCATGGCGATCAGTACATTTTTCTACATGAGAAAGTACAATAATTATATACTGAATAATTCATATATCAGTTTTATTCCATTGTTCATATAACTGTTGTTGATTTTCAAAAAGAAAAATACACAACTACAGTATCATTATAATATCAACTTACCCAGCAATGCCTTTACAGTTGTGGATGCATCAGTCACCAACTCACCAACTTTTACTTCCTTGGTGAGTCGATCTAGACACCGCTGTACGGCTTCCTTCTCCATGTTGGTGGATACAAGGCCAACGTGTCTCTTGTCCATAACTTCAACGTCAAGAATATGATTTGTACTTTCCTCCATGATGAAGTAACAAAGATTCTTGGCGTTGAAGCCTGGTGAGTCACATTGACCATCACCACCAACAACAATCTCCTTCTCCGCAAACTCTACAAGAATTTCTTTCCTCATGCCAGACCACCACTCATTTATCTCTGGAATAAGGTATAGTCTTTGAAATCTGTAGTAGGTGGAACTTGACAGGAACTCCAGATTAAAAAACTTTGCCATCCGCTCAATTTTAGAAAATTGATTGCCAGAGAACAAAAGGGAGGTTGCTGCTTGAAGATTGTTGGCATAAATATTATTCACTTGAGGTGAAGAACAGAATCTATATTTATGCCCCTCTGAACAAACACTGTTGATAACCACAGTAACACCAATGAAGTGATACTGGATTTGACTTTCAGCTGTGCATCCAGGTGTCTGACATCGCGACTGAAAGATCTGAAGCAGTAAATCAAGAGAGCATACAAATTTTTTTTCTTTTACCATTTTGTATTCCTTCTTCATCGAATACACCTCATCCCCTCTGGTGAATCTGCAATGCGGTCCAAAGGTGTCAGTACACTCAGTGGTGGAATGTGATTGTTGTTGCAGGTTCATGTCATCTGTCTCGTGTTCTGCATCTTCTTCAGTCACCATTTCAAAAATGTCATCCGCTAGCCCAACACTTTCATCATCACTAATTTCATTCATGACACTATTAATAAAATATATTTTAGATTTAACATGACTGCAAAAATTATTGTTGTGGTGCAGTAATTTATACAGAAACATATCTTTAGAGTTAAAACCACTAATTATGACAGATACTCTATTACTACATAGCATCCTTGAATGGAGATTAAATTAAACATATATAACAACTTACTCAGAGTCACTTTGTCTTGTCATGTCCTCTTGTTCAGCATTCAATTCTTCCAGAATTGACTTTGTAAGGTCATGTAAGCTGTAAAAATATATGTTACATTAATTTTTCCTGTGTTGGTGTTATGTACTCAGGTGCATATAAAGTTTGTGATGTTACTCGGAATTGAATCTCAAAATATCACATACCCGAACCAACCTGACCACATAGATCAGTTGGCAGAGCATTGGGCTAGTATTCCACAGGTTGTAGGTTTGATTTCCACTGTGGCCAGGCATATTTTTCAGGCTTGCCCAGTGGGGATATACAATCAAAGTAACATCCCAAACAAACATCATATGTTACCTTAATTATACCATAATAAATGTAACTTCTGAGGGCATTGAACTAAAAACATACCTGATATCTTCCTCTGAACTGTTGTCATCAGTAATTTCTCCCTCGTCATCGGTAAACATAGATGTATTGCCTTTACACAGGTCAATAGATGAGCTGTATTTAATAAAAATAAGTTTTACTATAAGTATTATACAGACAGTACATGTGAGAAACTGATTTCTGTGGGTTGTGGAATAAAACCTATACCAGGTACCTTACCTTGATTATTGCTCTTACTTTATCAACTAGTGCTTTTCTGGCATTTATTTTTATTTCATCCCCCCCCCCCCCCCACTTTTTCCTCAAGACATGAGAAAGCAATGTTACTATCATGATTGTGTCACTAGTAATGCAACCCTTTGAATTCATGAATTGTCAAATATGGCTAATAAAATACCTTTGATTAAGGGATACATCAGTGTCCACAAATCTTTCAGAGTCCTCTTGACTTCCCAATATCGGAGACACAGATGGAATGGTCATGGGATAAATAGGTATGTCCTTTAGGGGAGTTGATATCATTGAACCTAAAAAATAATAATAATTTATATCAATGAATTATAAAATATTAAAAAACGTAAAATAAACATCATTAGGATTGCATGGCATTAAATAGTAATATTTACATTTATTATATAGTAATTTAAAGCTTCGTTTGAGTTTACCTTCGGTGAGTTCCTGCTGGTCTGATTCACTTATATTTGTCGTTGCAGTCTCAGTTCCCTTGTGATGTTGTCTAGGTTGTTGCTCCCTTAGATATTGGAATAAAATATAAGTTCAGCTGTTTATTATACAATATGTATTTGCAAACGAAAATACGAAATATGATATCCTTACCTTCTGCGATATTCCAATGACAACAAATGGCAAGCGAAGTCGCAATCGCTAGATGCTTGATATCCAGCCTCTGTTTTCGCATCTCTCCATGCCTCGAATATTTTCAACGAAAGGTATATTCGCCTGTGTTGACTGTTCCACCCCTTTTGCGATGATACCGAACCATCGTATTTCCTTTTTCGTCCTGAATTCTCGCGTCTCCCGCCACGCGCTAGCTCCCCAGTAGCCGCCATCTTGGATATGCTAACTTTGAAAACTACAGCCTGTAGTTTTCAAAATTGCTATATGCGCAAAACGTATGCGCAGTAGACGACACAGCTCCTTTAATGCCAGTAGAGGATGGATCATTTAGATCCAGGTCTTCAGTATAGTTGTCATAATCCCGAAGCAAATCTGAGTTTGCTGTTAATGCACGATGCATTTCTACCAGATGCATCTTGCAAGTCCTGCAGCAATGATGGCCAACAAAGCTTTCAATAAAACCACAGATGCCATTCAGTCCCAAGTTGTCACCAGTCACCTGGGCAATACCAACATGGACATCTCCCTCAAACACATCTGTGCTAATGTGTAGTCCCCGGCTTTCCAACTCTTTGATGTCTGTTACAAGTGGTGCCAAAATAGGCTCAAATCCATAAGTTTTAACATCCCCTGTGTTGTACAATGCAACAAGATAGCAGTTACACAATGATGAACGGAATTTGGGTGGTAGATTTAAAATGGTACAATAAATTACACCTATCTTGTGTATCCCTGCCTTTGATCCAAGCGGATTAGCTATTTCGCAATCATCCACATACAAAAGAAGGGCAACATTTCTTCCATTTGAAAAAAAGACATGTCCACGACAGAATTCTCCGTCATGGAAATCTCGCATAATGCCATCTCTGCTGGGTTGATATTGCTGTATGCCTCTCATAAATCCTTTGCTTTCAAGTATGTGCTTAAGCAAGTCTTTCAAAGGAATGTATTGGAATGTCACATGTCTAGCTACCTGGTCAACATGATTAGTAACTGGGTTGTGACGGGGATAAAAAGCAGTAGCGAATGGTACTTCCCGGGGTTTTATAAAGTGACCACTCTGATAAAAGTACTTTTCTTGTTGATATGCAGTTTCCAGGTTTTCATATGGACGTTGAGCATTGTCAAATGCTTCAAGAAGTTCTACCCTTTCTGGGTCATCCTTTTCAATATCTTTGTTGTCTAACATCTGCTCAGTTTTGGTTTTAAGAGACATGACTACATTTGAAAACAACTCTGAACTTTCATGAACTACATGGTCTATATTTGACTGAACCATACTGCTTGATGCTTTTAATTTAGCTATTGCAGAAGCTGCAAATTCAGTTATTTCATTTCTACTCAAAACTGTTTCAACATTGGGAGGTAAACAAGGTGTATTATTATTGGGGTTAATATCAAATGGATTATCATCTGCATCACCCTCATTATCATTATCACCATCATTGTGAGGACTATCGTTATGTTTGTTCTCAATATGGCGTTTAAAGGCCAGTGAATAACGGAATGTCTGCAAACAACCCTCTTGGCCACATTTGACAGGGACAGTAAAAGCAGGACCCACTGAGAGTGCATGTAGGTTTCTGATATGCCAAATAAGATTCTTACAGCTTCCATTAATAACTTCGTTGCAGACAGAACAAATATAACCCATTATATGTCCAACTGTGAATAATACTGTATGCTACACGTTAACAATAGTAAAATACCTTTTCTTCTTCTAATTTTTTTAACAGCTTTCGTCGTGGACCAATCGCGGTTATCATTTCCTTTATGGAGTCGTGGTCAAGCAACCGAAACGCTTCTTCATCGATCATGTTCTCTAGAAAAAAAATGTAATTGTTATCACAAATTCAATGTAAATCTTTAAAAAATAAACTAATCCAATTTGTTTAAGCTATTGGCACTTATTAAACTATATTTTTTTAAAAACATTGACACCATGGAGACGAAACCCCATTTCGTCCTTCCAGTTTCGTAGCTTCTCCCCCCCCCCCCCGATGAGATTTTATGAACAATACAGTGTCAGGAATTGTTAGTGGATTCGACTTTTTTGGAAAGTTTTCGGCAGACCCTCGAGGGTCAACAGGTGTTAAATTTGTGTGTTTTTATTGCTAGAAAAATATTCAAAGAAAACTTTTTGAAAATTTGAGCAACCTCACTTTATATTTCTCTCAAGTGAGCAAGAAAATGTTGAAACATTGTTCGTTCATATTCAGAAAAAAAAGCAGCAAAAAACAACGTTTAATCACGACCCCTACCTTGAAATATCACTTTCAAACAGGATAGATTCCATTCTTCCAGCTTTTGTTCCACAAAACTATCCATGAACCATATAGGCCTTCAAAAAACTATTTTTTTTCGAGAAAAGTTGTCAAGCAACCGAGCATTTGAAAAAAGCAGATGTGAAAAGCCAGAAAGCGCGCGAAACAAATTAACTTAATTCGTATAGGTTTCTAGATGCTTATTGGTCGGCTTGCCCGGGGATAATGTAGAATTACCGGGAAAGTGGGTAGGGGGTAATGTTCCCATAACGGAGAAAGTTTCCAGTCATATTTTTACCATTATTCCTGGTTAATAATACAAGTTTCTCGTTTCGATTTATTTGCTTTTATCCCCGAGCCGGCGGCGCGAAGCGCCGTGCGAGGGTACTAATTCCCCCCGGCTATTTACACCCGGGGAAACGAAAGGATTAGCGGAGTCTAAAGTTCATCAAATATCGCGGGCGTGGGTCACCAACGATGGGTGGTCACCCTCACTGACCTCAAAAATATGGCGGACTGTCATGAATAGCGGACACTGATTGGTCCAATTTAAAGTTTGCATAAACGACTGCATCACGTCAGCGAAATAGCAAACATTTCTTGATTTGATGATTCATGATTGACTGATAAATTTCTTGCGAATATATTTCATTTTTACTCGTATTTTTGCAATATTTTGTAAATTTCAAAAGCTCTCGGAGAAAGAATCGGCTAAAAGAAGGGAGCCGACGTTAACGAAGGTAAGTTTGTTTTAAATATTGATTTTATAATGGCTTTAAAACCCGACGGCCTTTGCGATATGAAACAACTAAACAAGACAGAATATAATTTCAGTGTATCTTTAATATTGATTCCCTTTTGTATTATATTGAATTTTTTAAATGAAAAAGAAAGCAAAGTTATTTGCAAGCGAGAATTTGAAATCATTTTATTGCAAACTCAAAGTTTATCGATAAACCATAGTAATAATTAAAGGTAGTTAAGTTAAAGAGCACTTTAAAACGTTTTGCGAAGCGTTTGTGGTTGAATTTTACCTTAAATTGAGGCTTATATTACGTATAATAACATACCTAAGATATATATGTTGGGAAATTAATGATTTTGTAATTAAAAGTGATATTTTTAGGCAATTTTTCATTTGTAAGAATATTCTTAAAAAATTATCGTGTTACCATGACAACTATTTTAGAACTTTATGTTCGGAACATACAATGGTTTTGTCAGCAAGGCGAGGGTTTCTGCATGCATGTATTTTCCCCGAGCCGGCGGCGCGAAGCGCCGTGCGAGGGTACTAATTCCCCCCGGCTATTTACACCCGGAGAAACGAAAGCATTAGGGAAGTCTGAAGTTCATCAATGAGCGCGGGCGTCGGTCACCAACGACGATGGGTGGTCATCCTCACTGATCTCAAAAATATGGCGGACTGTCATTAAAAGCGGACACTGATTGGTCCAATTTAAAGTTTGCATTATAACGGCTGCATGACGACAGCGAAATAGCAAACATTTGACATTTCTTGATTTGATGAGTTGATGATTGATAAATTTCTTGCAAATATTCTTCATTTTCTGCAAGATTTTGTAAATTTCAAGAAAGAAAGGGCGAAAGAATCAGCTAAAAGAAGGGAGCCGACGTTAACGAAGGTAAGTTTGTTTTAAATATTGATTTTATAATGGCTTTAAAACCCCACGGCCTTTGCGTATATGAAACAACTAAACAAGACAGCATATAATTTCAGTGTATCTTTAATATTGATTCCCCTTTTTATTATATTGAATTTTTTAAATAAAAAATAAAGCAAAGTTATTTGCAAGCGAGAATTTGAAATCATTTTATTGCAAACTCAAAGTTTATCGATAAAGCCATTTAATAGTTAAAGGCAGTTTAGTTTTATAAAGAACACTTTAAAACGTTTTGTGAATTGTTTGTGGTTGAATTTTACCTTAAATTGAATCTTGTATTACGTATAATTACATACCTAACATAAATATGTTGGGAAATTGATAATTTTGTAATTAAAAGTGATATTTTTAGGCGATTTTTCATTTGTATTAAGAATATTCTTAAAAAATTATCGTGTTACCATGACAACTACTTTAGATACTTCATGTTCGTAAAATACAACGGTTTTGTCAGCAATGCGAGGGTTTCTGCATGCATGTATTTTCTAGTCTAGTATATAAATATAAATATGGATTTACTATGAAATGAACCTTGAAAGGTTTAAAAATCTACTAATGGAAAATTGGGAACCAGATTAATCCCCGAGCCGGCGGCGCGAAGCGCCGTGCGAGGGTACTAATTCCCCCCGGCTATATACACCCGGGGAAACGAAAGCATTAGGGAAGTCTAAAGTTCATCAATGAGCGCGGGCGTCGGTCACCAACGATGGGTGGTCATCCTCACTGATCTCAAAAATATGGCGGACTGTCATGAATAACGGACACTGATTGGTCCAATTTAAAGTTTGCATTATAACGACTGCATGACGACAGCGAAATAGCAAACATTTCTTGATTTGATGAGTTGATGATTGATAAATTTGTCAAATTTCTTGCAAATATTCTTCATTTTTGCTCGTATTTCTGCAAGATTTTGTAAATTTCAAGAATGAAAGGGCCAAAGGATCAGCTAAAAGAACGGAGCCGACGTTAACGAAGGTAAGTTTGTTTTAAATATTGATTTTATAATGGCTTTAAAACCCGACGGCTTTTGCGTATATCAAACAACTAAACAAGACATACAAGAGAGCATATAATTTCAGTGTATCTTTAATATTGATTCCCTTTTTTATTATATTGAATTTTTAAATAAAAAATAAAGCAAAGTTATTTGCAAGCGAGAATTTGAAATCATTTTATTGCAAACTCAAAGTTTATCGATAAAGCCATTTAATAGTTAAAGGCAGTTTAGTTTTATAAACAACACTTTAAAACGTTTTGTGAATTGTTTGTTGTTGAATTTTACCTTAAATTGAAGCTTGTATTACGTATAATTACATACCTAACATATATATATGTTGAGAAATTGATAATTTTGTAATTAAAAGTGATATTTTTAGGCGATTTTCATTTGTAAGAATATTCTTAAAAAATTATCGTGTTACCATAACAACTACTTTAGATACTTCATGTTCGGAAAATACAACGGTTTTGTTAGCAAGGCGAGGGTTTCTGCATGCATGTATTTTCTAGTTTCTATGATATACAGTCTATGCACTTCGTTGCTCGTTGGAAGTTGGCCATGTGTTCGGACCTTGTCAAAACCCTACGATAAGGTGATTACAATCTATTATATATTTGTTTTATAATCCCATATAGTAGTGACATCTACAGTACAAAATCAATGTTTGTGGACTGTGGTTTTTGTTTTACCTAGCCAATTACTTTGGCAAGATAAGATATTGATTGTGTTTACTGTACGCAGGCACAATGTAAATATAAGCTCTATATATAAAACAATATCGAGTTTCTGGCTGGTTTATATCTAGATGGGATACATTTTAAACTCAAGGGCGTAATAGGGGGGGGGGGGCATATTCATGTTCACAGAGCGTTAGAACAATCGCTTTCAAAAGAAATGAATGATGCAGAATACAAATATATGAATATCACCCACCCCCCATATCAACTAAAGGTACTATTGATTCGATTCATGACCCCCCCTTTCATGAGTGACATAATAAACATTGTAGTGAATGCTACTCGAGTGCATGGGGATGTATATATTTAAACCTGGATCATAGGGACTCAGGATCTGAAATCTGGGCACATCCAAATTGTTTATTTTGAGCCTAACGTCCTATGACTGCATAACTATGTCCAGAATCAATCCACTATCAAAATTGTTATCTTTCCAATTCATGCTATATATATTATACTATATATATAGTAACTACTACAAATTACAGAATTGTGGACAAATACTGCACTAGTGTAACAGACGGATAGTACAAATATTTTACAGTTGCTGTTACCATTCAACGGTCGCTTATAATGAATGTCAAAATGTTTTTTTGTCCATGATCAATTAATTTAACTCATAGTACAATTACTTGAGAGAGTAAATTTAGGTCACTTTGAGAACAATATAATATAAAGTGTCTAATAAATCAAATATCATGGTACTGTACAATATCAATTTCCCTAATACAATAGTTGGTAAGGGGCGATGTTGACACTTAACATCAGATTGAGAAAAAAACCCAAACTCTGACAACAATTTGGGCATGTACACTTGTGGGTGCCACTAAGACAGCAATGCACACAGGCCATGCACCTCCATAGCCAGTGCACCTTTCTTGTTTTTACCCTTTATGCCGGACTATTTTACTCCTGATGGAACGACACTTGTTGACAGTTTTAGCTAGATGATTTTGATTCCTCTCAAGTGATAATTTCACTGCCGTTTGTTGAAAACAAGCAATACAGTATATACATTTGTGAATTTTGACCTACTTCAGAATTAATAGGGTCATGTGTCAGTAGTAGCACTTGCAGTGCAGTACATATATATTAAGTGAATATAAAATTTTTGTCAAATAATGTGCCGGCTCATGTTCAACAAACCACTGAATCTACACAATAATTGTGAATGTATATTGATAAGCTTATGTTTCAACAAATGAAAATTGATTTAACCCATTAAGCTGCAGAGCTTCCCCATTGACAAGTAAAATCGTCTGGCGTTGAACATGCAAGTAAAAAAAAGTAGGGCGCACTGGGGCGCATTGCCGTTCAATGAGCTAACTGGAGATATTGTCATATTTTTGGTTAACAAAATGCAACATGTGTGGTTACACAAACATCAAAGGTTTGGACGTGAGTCGCCCTTCATCCCACAATATTTCTCTATCTGGTGACAAACTGAAGCTAATTGTTAGTTAAATCCAATGCCTATAAATCATGGCGCTTATATAATCCATTTACTAGCAATGCGTCCCAATGCACCCTACTTTAGTATTTACTCGGTTTAACGCCAGACGATTTTACTTGTCGGTGGTAGAGTACTAACAGTACAAGGGTTACATGTAATTTTCCTAGAAAACCTCTAGTTTTGATGATT